GATGGGGAGGGAACAGGAGGAGGTGTAGAGGAGGGGGACGAGGGGTCTTTATCTCTCTCCCTACACACTCCGCACTCACACTTTGTTCTATTGTTGTTGGCTCCGTTGCCAAGCGGCTCCTGCGGTTAGTTTGACGCTGGATGGAGAACATGTGTGAGTGACAGACAGCACGCTGGCTAATTCGGGTTAGTATGCGAGATTTTTTTTATACTGTCATGAACTTGATCCACATGCACAGATTATTTAAAGATGAATATAGGTTGTAGTTGTGCTCCAGGTGTCAGTGTCTTTGTTGTGTGTCCTGCTCTATTCTTTTCCTTGTTTCTGATGTTTCCCAACAGCAGTGAGAGCATTTTTTTCTGCTGGAAAGATATGTCGTTGTGTTTTAGAGAGCTTGTGAGTGAAGTTTGGAAAATATTCACTATAGACTCTGAGGTGCAGCGTGGAAGTTTCTTGGAATGAATGGTTGTTGAATTATGATGTTGTGCAGGTTTAACAACCAGGTCAGATTGTACATAAAGGCTTGTAAACTTTTACCAACCTGTGTTCTCAGAGATCTCCAGATCTCTTATGTAAAGCATGTAGTTACAATGAGTCAGTCAGGTGTAGTCCGTCTGTCTTCAGCACCACAGGCAGTGGACAGCGACAGTGATGCTGAGAGGATCAGACTGTTGCCCTTCTTCTGTTAAGCTCTCCAGAGGGAGAGGACGAATATACTGTGCCATGAAGTTGACCCTTTTTCTAAAACTATACAGTGTAATAGTGAGATACAGTGTTGTTTTGCTAGCAGACGTATTAGAATTGTTTTACCAACCTGTTGACAACTTATGGCTACATTTGCCATTTCCCTTTTCATTCTGTCTTTTCATTATTATGAACAACACTTGTTTTAGTTTCTAATCTGTGTGTGTCAAATTACAATCTGCAAATCTTGGCACATCTTACTGAAATCACACTGCAGAAGTCAAAAGGATTTCAACCCAAACTGAGAAATTTCTGTATTCTTGTTTTGCTGGCCTGCCTACATGCCCTTACAAGGAAACTTGTAACTAGGTCACCATAATCAACCCTAAATCTGAAGTTCAAAGTTCCTTGTTCTTCTTTTAATGAGATTTCCTGTGGAATCCTAGGAATTGCGGTCAGGGCTTGAGTCCGCTAATGGAGCGCCCACACAGATGTGTCTCGCCCGTGCTGTTTTTGCTCTCGATTGAGTTGAAAGTGTTTGTTTGTATGTCTACTCTTCATGCAGACTGAACTAAATTAGATCATCTGAGCAAGGATCGGCCCGTGTTGCACTTGTTTTAGCTTCATGTGTAATTACAGTACTCAACTCCCTGTAGAGATTCTGTGTTTTTATTTTGTTTTTTTTTTATGGTTATTCAAAACTTATGCTCCCCCTGTAACATTTTTCAAATTTTTCAGTCAGTTTCATTGACGGTAATATCTTTTAAATTGTGCAAAACAGTCAAAGTTTTTGTGGATATACTGACCACAGTATTTGCAGTGTTTTAAATACAACTCTTTGAAGCCTATTGTTGTCCATTACTTGCAAACATTGCATAAATATCTCAAGAAAGTCAAAAATAAAGAATGAAAAACAACATAAGCAAGAGTGCTTTTGTTTCCAGCCGTCAAAGTCTTTGTGCTTGTTTGTCTGTTTGAGTCAAAGTTCTGGTCTGAGGCAGTATATCTCTGATAAATCTCAATCAGAGACCTTGAATGTGAGTTTGTATTGCTAATATAACATAGTTTGTTGAATTGTTTTTAAGCAGAAGGCATATTTCCAGTTAGACAAGGAAAGTTAATAAATAATCAGTGCTGGGAGAGCAATAATGGAATTATTATCATAGCAGCGTCGCCTCTGTCCAATTCTATCAAAAACTAGCACCTGTTTCAGGGTCATGATCTACCAGATCTACCAATGTCCACAGCATTAGGAGCTGTTATCCCAGCTTTGAGTCCATGCTGAGCTAAATCCCCTTAAGACAAAATCATTGCACGTTATCAGCTAAATCCTGTCGAAAGGGACATTTGTGTGATTTAGTTTTTTCCATTTCTGTTCGATGCATTTATAATGATAGGCTGGAACAGGATATTAGTCTGTTACAGATTTAAAGCAAATCCTGTGGAAATGCCCAGCAGAGCATGAGCTCTTTTAAACCCTAAAAATAAAAATGAAAGAGTCAATATGCTCTCTGAGCTCAGATGTAGCAAATATTGGATATGCTCAGGGGGGAAATTATGTAGCAATCATCCAGGATTCAATAAATATTCAAACCAGTCATAAACACTGGAAACATCATATTTCCACTGCACATGATTGCATTAGACTTTGTATATTGATTATTTCTGACATAGATATTTAAAAAGGATTTCTTTATTATTCAATAGTATATAATTGTCATTAATCTGCAGACAGTAATTGAAAATGTAATGAAGAGAGGTGGCAGCTGTGGCAAGGAATCAAATTATGCAGAAAGGTGTCACAACCAGATTTGTGCACTTTAAAGATTTTAAAGAGGTTTTGGGTTGCTGTACAGTCTCTCAACCAGATTGCAATATGGTTTCATTCCACATCAGTTCTTCAAACCGACCTGCAAGATGGAAAATTGCACTGTGCATTCTGTGCAATTTTGCACCTTTACCTAATATGCAAAGCAACACTGTCAACAGGTGCAGTTTAATGTGCAATAATCATTCCTTGCCATATGTATGGATTGTCAAATGCTTGTTTAATTTCTGATGACTGTAAAGCCTGTAGTCTCTTTATTACCAATCTCAGGCAACAGATCTTCAACAAGTGAGTGATTTTGAGCCCCTGTTGCGCTTGTAGCTGTAAAGTGGTGCAGAAGCCCCCACTCTCAAGAGCATGATGCAACTGTGATGAAATAGAGAAACCGGCTTGGGCTCTCTGCATTAGGATATTACCATGAGATACTCAAACATCCAGCGAATAGAGAGTTTAGTCCTCTCACTCAAGGCTTGTGCTCAACTGCATGAGGTCCGCTTGACCAGGAGAGCTACCCAGGCCAAAGGAGCAGCACCAAGGCTGATGTAACATCTCCTGAAAAACGGTAACTCACATTGGCACAGTCTAGTACTGGTGGGTTTGTTTGTTTGTTTGTGTTTTTTGGTTTTTGGACACCTTTGGGCTAGTTTATGCATGTGCATCGTCATTGGTCTGTGTTATTGAAGGTTGTTGTTGGGCGCTTGGGGAAAAGTCTGATTTATGCACACAAACACAAGATGTCATTGTCTATACTTTTAAAAGATGGCGTTAATTATTTAAGGCTTTTTGAAGAATCTTGATCTTTTTAAAGTGGATATTAAAAGTTAAAATTAACTGTTGGAACTGGTAAGACTGTAGATGATGCTTGTTTTTTGCATGCATTTGTTTGTTGTGACATGTCTTAGGAGCTGATTTTTCTGTAAGAATTCAAATAAATTAGGCCAATTTTTGACATTGAAAAAAGTGGCCCAATTACCTTGAATTCATCTTATATATTCACCACAATACAGCAAAAGCAAATAACCTCGCCTCCTCCATTTCCTCTAAATATATTCTCCATCACTGCGTTTATAAACATGAGTTAGGTCTGTCTGTTTTGAAACGATTCCCCTCAACAGTTTCAGGTTTGACACAAAGCTCTCAAGGGTTCTGTTGCCTGGCTGGTCTGCTGGCGTCTGATTGGACGTCTCCAGGCGGCTGGAGGTGTAGTAGAGCGTTGATTATGTCACAGCCCCGTTGTAGAGCAATTTGGTCCCTCCTCCCCTTTCCCCTCCCCCCCAGCCTACATGAGAGTACGTGTGCCGCATTCTGAGTGGAGGGAGCGAGAGAGAGAGAGAGAAAGACAGCCAGCCAGCAGCAGGTGGAAATGACATCATCTGCACTGCACCAACACTGCAGTGGTGTTTGAACAAAGCTGCACTGGAGCTCCATTCAGAGCGGCTCTTTTTGTCTGCAAGGGTAGATATTTGTGGTGGAAAAACACAGAATCCAATGCATACGTGTAGGTCCATTCATTAGAATTAGACTCACTTTCATTCACCGTGTGTGAAACAGAACTGGTGTCAAAGTGGTATATGCAGGGAATTTGTCCTGATGTTAGCTGTCACTGAGACAAAACAACACATTATGAGCATACATACAAGAGCCCGCAAGTAGCTTTTTTTTTTAAGTGGACAAAGGATATGCAAGCTAGATGATATTTAATATAGAGATGTAAATGGGTCAATGGGAAATAATGAAAAAATGTTGAAGAGTAGAAATGTCTTTTAAATTTAATCTTTGTATTTAAGTTTTTCTTAAATACAAAGTATTTTGTATTTAAGCTTCTTTTTTTTTGCATTTAAAAAAATAATAATTTTCAGTTTTTTGTTTTTTTTAACACTTGTACAATCTCAGGACAGTTACACCATGCAGACATTTTTTTTTTTTACTTTTATTTTTGTTTTTTTTCCAAATCAAATATATTTGTGTAGATGTCAAAAAAAAATGTTCATTCAGAAATTTAAATTCATCATAGAAGAGGTGTATTTTGAATAACTTAATACTGTGGAGCATCATATAATTGACCCATATAGGGTATAATTAAGAGTTAAACGAGATATTCATCAAGAAAAATATAGGATGGAGCTTAAATTTTTTTGTATCCATACCAGTGACTTTCCACCTTATATAACTGGTTACTCAGTGTTGGGGAAGCTACTCGTAAATTAAAGTAGTTAAGCTACATTCAAGCTACCCTTCTGAAAAAGTAGCTAGCTACACTACAAGTTACTGTCAAAAAGTAGCTAGCTACATTGAAACCACTTTTTAAAAAAATTTATTATTATTAGTTTTTTTTACAATTAACATGACATGACAAATAACTAAATAATTATTAATGAAGAATTATAATAAAGTTATAAGTAAAATATTTGGGGTTTAAGACATACTGTAATGCAATCATGATTTCAAATAGTAGGGTGAATTCAGGTTGTTTGGGACACTTTTCCAAGCCATTTCAAAGACAAAAAGTGTCCCAAACATTTGATTTTGTAAACTATTCGATACACATAATAATAAAATGCTGTATAGTTAAATAGTTATTTTAGTTATAGTTATATATTGCTACAAATGTAACATCAATGCAAGAACAAAATGTATGCAACTTAAACTGGATACGGTGGAGTCATAAAATAAGCAGGTTAAACTCACAGCACATGCGGTATTTACTGACTGTGAATGGAGAAGTCAATCATCAGCTGCATGCGTGAACACTGCGCTTTGCGTGAATCCCGCCACAATCATCCTTTGCCAAATGATAAGCACACTACTATATCGCGATTTTATTTTCTGTTCATTACAAAACTGTGGGGGGCCAGATTATATTATGACCGTTCATCATTGTAAAATAGACATTTGATCTGGCGTGCAATAAAGAAGAAAAAATAATTTGTTTAAAAAGGCTATTATTCACCTCCTGTATGTGCTTTAAGTCTTCGACGTAGACCGCATTTTAATCTTTGTTTTGCGTAAATTACAGTTGATTCATGTGACATATCCACGCCTGTACATCCTTTGCACTGTATAGTTAAATAGTTATTTTAGTTATATTAGTATATTGCTACAAACGTAACACCAATGTAAGAACAAAATGTATGCAACTTAAACTGGATACGGTGGAGTCATAAAATAAGCAGGTTAAACTCACAGCACATGCGGTATTTACTGACTGTGAATGGAGAAGTCAATCATCAGCTGCATGCGTGAACACTGCGCTTTGCGTGACCCCCGCCACAATCATCCTTTGCCAAATGATAAGCACACTACTATATCGCGATTTTATTTTCTGTTCATTACAAAACTGTGGGGGGACAGATTATATTATGTAAAATTATGTTCATCATTGTAAAATAGACATTTGATCTGGCGTGCAATAAAGAAGAAAAAATAATTCGTTTAAAAAGGCTACTATTCACCTCCTGTATGTGCTTTAAGTCTTCGACGTAGACCGCATTTTAATCTTTGTTTTGCGTAAATTACAGTTGATTCATGTGACATATCCACGCCTGTACATCCTTTGCAATATCATCAGACGATCTCTTGTCAGTGGAAAGGCTGTAAAGCCGAGCGATGCGTGATATCACAACAGATGGCGGTAATGAACTAATTTAGTTTGTGATCTAGTCAGAAGAAGACGTTGCGCTGCTTCAGTGCATTACAGGCTCGTGACTCGTCAGAACGCAAAACGGAATGTAGCGTTTGGGCGCACTACACCGCTACTTGCTGGAAGAAGTAGTTAGCTACATGAAAAGCCACACTGTTTTAAAAGTAGCATCGCTACTGTAAAGCTACTGAAAAATGTAGTTACGCTAGTAGCGTCGCTACTTGTAGCTAGCTACTCCCCAACACTGTGGATACTGCAGTTGAAATGACCACTCGCTGCCATTGTGAACGCCCCTATAAACAGCCTTGATGATGTCAGCTGACAAAGAAATTGGTTTCAGAGACCAGTTATTACTTCTTTTTTCTTTTCTTTTTTTGGAATAACATGCACTGATTAATCGTGCACAATAACACCAGGAACATGTGTTAAGAAATTAAATAGAGTTTGATTTCATGATGATTTTAAAGACATTTGATATGTACACATAACAGTCTAAATTCTCCTTATGTTTTATGCAGATAACCAGTTTAGAATGTCCATCCTGGAACGCCTAGAGCAGATGGAGCGAAGGATGGCAGAGATGGCCGGTCAGCAACAGCAACAGAGCAGTGGAGGACCATCTGAGAGTGGAGGAACTGGAACAGGAGGAGGAGAAGGAGGAAGAAGCCATTCTGAACAGGTACAGGTATCATTCTGAGCTACACTTTATTACTCCAAACTAATGGGCATCTCCATTAGATTCTTAGAATTGACTTGGTTCTTGATTCTTTGTCGTAGTTCTCACCAGGTCAGGGTCAGAGCCAGGATGAAGGTCCGGCTGGCAACTCTTTTGAGAGCCGTGTGGTGGTAGTTTGTGAAAAGATGATGAACCGCGCTTGCTGGGCCAAATCCAAGCACCTGATCCACTCCAAGACATTCCGAGGCATGACTCTTCTTCATCTGGCAGCCGCCCAGGGCTACACCACCCTTATCCAAACACTTATCAAGTGGCGGTGAGTTTACAGATTGCACACCTACACTAAATGACCATTTATAGTGCATATCCATCATTCATTTCTTCTGTATTGTTCTCTGTGCTGTTTGTTTTTTACAGCACTAAGCATGCAGACAGTATTGACCTAGAACTTGAGGTCGATCCTCTAAATGTGGATCATTTCTCTTGCACACCACTGGTGAGTGTTGACACTAGGTCAGGAAACCTTAATCATGATACCATGTAGCTTCATAATGTTTTTGGATGAGTTGTTTCATACAGAAGGGGCAGAGCATGGCATACAAATTAAATGCAACTAAATTGTCTTCTCCCTCAGATGTGGGCTTGTGCTTTGGGTCATATGGAGGCAGCAGTGGTTCTGTACAAATGGGATCGACGAGCTTTGGCCATTCCAGATTCTTTGGGTCGCTTACCGCTGGCTATTGCCCGCTCCCGTGGCCACACCAAGCTGGCCGAGTGTCTGGAAAGCCTTCAAAGGGAGGAGCAGCAGTCAGGAGCACTGACTACAACTTCCAGCATGCCTTTCTCACCATCTACTGAGGCCTCAGCTGCAGAGGGATGGATGAATGTTTGGGGTGCAGAGGCATGTTCAGTTGGGCTGAAAGAAAGCAACATCCCTAGCTCTGCTTCCAGCTCCAGTTCAGGTGAGAACTGGAATCTTTCATTCAATCTGGAGTGTCAGTCTTCAAAAGTCTTTCATGTGCATGTTAAGTTCCATACAGTTACGAATAACCTAGTAAAACATAGAAAGACCTTGCATGAACAAATGAGTACTTTGTAAGCAGATGGATCAGGTTGAGTGACAGGTTGTGTACAATACGGTCAAACAGACTTGCTTTGTACTTTTGCAGACCTGAGGAGACCCAGGTCGGAACCATCCAGTTTCTATAGCAGCGTTAGTCACGGGGACGCCCCGTTGAGCAAGAAACACAAACCCAACCCTGAGACCCTTCAAACTCGGCCCAGCAAATCCTGCTCTGCCCCTCTCGGACTAGAAGAACATGCCCACAAACCTAAAACGTTCCCTTCCAAACCAAGGGAGGGTACTGTGGAGAAAGAGCAGGGAGATGGTGAGCAGTCTCAGACTAAGCTGGGCTCAACTTGTGGAGGTGGGTACTGGGGTTCCAGACAGGCTGCAGGACGCAGAGTGCCAACTGTAGGACTTGGCAAGGAAAGGCTCGCAAACAGACTGAGATTAAGAGAGATTGCTAGTGCGGGAACAGTCTCCGATCTGCGGACAACCCGAGAAGATCTGGAGAACACAGGAGACCTGCAGGTGAGGCATAGAGAAGGTACTTTGACTCGAGTAGACTGACGAAACTGCTTCTTTTGTAGTGCTATAGGATAAAAGGAAAAGTCTGTCAGATTTAGTATTGGCTTCTGTCTTATGTCTCAGTGGCAATATGGCTAGCAATCTTATGCACCTGTCCTGTACCCTACTTTTTGGGGCTCATAAACATGTATAGTTACTGGTGCAATTTTAAAAGTACCCAACTATTTGTTTCAGAACACGAACATGATGACTTTGGCGGAAGAAGTCATTGAGGCGACATCTGATCGCATCAAGAGAGAAAACTTTGTTGCATCAGACACTACACTAGATGGCGTTGGAGTCAGCAGCACCATGAGCTGGTTGGCCAGTTACCTTGGAGATGCGGAGAGGTGATTCATCGTAAAGTTGACCTATTCTCAAGATTCCTAGTTACAGTCCCTTTGGATTCTTGTATGTAATTGATTTCCCAATTGTTCCCAGGTTCCTGTTTAACAAGCCCCTAACTTCCTCTTCTGGCCTGGGCCCAGTCCACAGTGGAGGACAGCCAGAACTTGACGGTCCTCTTGGGAAGCTTGGCCTCCAGTCCCCCGCTGAATGGACTGCGCTCCTCAATGCCTCCCACAACAAGGAGGAGCGTGACCTGACCCAGCTGGCCTTGTCTGATCCCGAACAGAGAGAACTTTACGAGGCAGCCCGCCAGGTCCAGAACACCTTCCGCAAATACAAGGTAGGGCAGGGCTTCACCCAGGTGCCAGGGTCACCCATGCAGGTTATCGGTGGTGTGTTGCCAGTGTTCGTGATGGTCCAGTTTCAAAGGTCTTGATGTATTGTGTTGTGTTGTATGGTGTTCCTGAACTTAAGGTAAATTAATCTGGATCTTTGCAGTCCTGTGTCGTGAAAGGTGGTATGATTGTTGTGGTGTGCGCTCAAAAGGCAGAGATAGGATCACTGTTGTTGACAAGCATGGGGAAATTTGCTTGAGCTTAGCATGGCCTTGCTATAAGGAATGATTGCATTGTTTCCTATCTACCTATCTATCTGTCTGTCTTAACGGGATGTGCGGATATCCCTGAGTCCACACCACATTGGTTGTTCAGAGCAGATTTCTCCCAGTGTTCCACTGGTGCGCAGTGCTCTGAGGAATAACCTTCTCCAGGGTGTCGGAGCATATCGACACAACTTTGCCAGTCTAAGAGGACACCTTGGCCAGGCACAAAAGGAATCAGATGCCACCATCTCTGTGGCCTTGCAGGCCTCCTTGTGAACACTAATCTCTCTCCTGTCCTCTCCACCCTACCTTATCCCCCTCTTCCCCCATCCTGCAGGGCCGTCCGCTTCGGGAGCAGCAGGAACTGGCAGCTGCTGTCATTCAGCGCTGTTATAAGAGGTACAAGCAGGTAGGTCCAAGCAGAGATCCTAAGAATTCTGTGTGTACACTTTTGAGTGGTCAATTATTAAAGGCTTTACAAGAATGCCTTCAATTCCTTCCTCTCTCTTCCCCAAGCTGACACGGATAGCCTTGAAGGTAACACTTCCTGCTTCATGTACAACGACTACTGCTTTGAACTGGAAGTTTGTTAGTGGTGCTTCTTTATCACTATTACTATTGCTAATACTTAGGGTTATGGATATGAACCAAACTTGTACTGTTACAAATATTAATGCTAGCTCATATTGTGCAGCTTGCTAAGAACAGATTAGATATTTAGCAACATTTCCTGATTTATGAATAATAAAACGGGCAAAAAAATTCCAAAGTTTTACACCGAAAGAGGGATTGAAGCAGTAAGCAACCACCTAGCAATGACCTAGCTTACATGTTCTATTGTGCCAAAAAAAACTTAGCACCTGTCAATCATCCACAAGACATCTAATATAAAGTTGATGGTGTACTTTGTCAATGTTGATTTTTTTTGTATTAGCAAAAAGGCTAATGGAGTGGTTTGCTACAGATCTCTCTCTCTCTATCATGTGACAACTTTCTTTCTCTGTCCTTTTGGCAGTATGCACTTTATAAGAAGATGACGCTGGCCGCCATCCTTATCCAGAGTAAATTCCGCAGCTACCACGAACAGAAGAAGTTCCAGCAGAGTCGCAGGGCAGCCGTGCTGATCCAGCAATTTTACCGCAGCTACAAAGAGCTCGGCCAGCCTAACCCACGAAGCCGAGCCACGGCAGCTGCACTGGTGCAGCACAAACTCAGGTACAAGAACAGACAATCAGTACAAGGCAAACTAGTGGTTAAAGATCGAACACATAAGATTTTATAAAAGTTTTTGTAAAATACTCATGCCATCTGCACATTGTTATTGGTGTGATCACTTTGGCGGATGCTTAATGGTTTAAAACTTTTCATGTAACACACCACATTTAGAATTAAAATTCCACCCTCATTATAGAATTAAGCTCTCAGAATGAATCATCATCCAAGTATAATAGGCATTAATATCAAAGCTATAAAAAGAAAACATTGAATTCCAATTGACCTACTCTTAAGCCTTTCGAAGACCTTTTACATGGCCATCACCTTGGACTTTAGTTCTGAATTTAGTTCCCAAAATCTATTTGTGTGTACACATACTTTAACTAAGCAACCTTGTGTGTTCAAGCCTCACAAGGAGTGCTGCATGCGTTAATTGAGTGTCATTTCACCTCAAGTTACTACAGGTAACTTCCTCTAAAGTGTACTGTCGATTTGGATGAATTACTAAGTATGTGCCAACACTTCAAATGTGACACACTGCCAAGTCGACTTTTTAAAGAATGGCAGCGTTCGAAACCCTCCTGTTTACTTTAAGAGACAATCTGTTGTTGAAACAGCGCCAGAAAATGATTTACTTCACTATCAGTTTGAGTCCAAGTACACATAGAAGCATCGTTATTTTTGCATGCCATTTGTTGTCATACAACCTGTTGCGGCAACTGCAGTTTGATCCTTAATTGCTGGTGTTTTCTAGGAGAGCAGAATATTACTTTTGCATATACTTGGAGTTAAGGATTTGAACGAACCCCTAACCCTAAGTAACCCTAAACCCCTAACCCTGGGGTTGTATTAGCATGCAACCTCTGTGCTCTAAACTATTCCTTGAATCATCTGTCAAGCTGAGGATAGGTGTCCCGATACTTTTCTAAGCTATTGGATATATTTTGCCTCATAGACAATAAAATATCCCAAAAAAAGAAACCTATAGACTTGCACTGAAGGACAAACCCTATCCATATCATAGAGACTTGAGGGGTGGGCTCTTTTGGCTTTGAGTAACGTTCGAAACTTTGAATCTTCCTCACACCCTAGAAACATACCAGCAATTTTTGCACATGCTAAATGTTTGGTTTAACTTGCCAGTGTACACAACCACTCATGCTGATCATTTTGTTTTAGAAGCAGTTTACTGACCAAGAGACAAGACCAGGCTGCCAGAAAAATAATGCGGTTTCTGCTGCGGTGCCGTCACAGGTAGGCCAAAGACGAGAACTTCCACCAGATGCATTGTGTTCCTACGGCCCTGTTGTTCTTTTAGCATGCACACACCTACTCTATGGTATACTTGCACCTTTGAGATGAATCACTCTTTTAATATCCTGCTGTTTAAAAAGGCACATTTCCTAATCTCTCAAGCACACCAACATGACTGTCAGGAGTCATAAGACAGCAACAGACAAACCTTGGCGTTTTCATGGCTCTGTTAGAAAGCCCTATTGTGTTTGGTCCCATTTCCCCAACCCAACCCAACCTCAGTGTGTACTAATAGCTGTCTGGTGTTGTTTTGCTGTTTATGCAAAGCCCCTTGATGGACCATAGACTATTCAAACGGGTGAGTGCAGCCTCAGTAAATCAGTTCGAACCCCTCGATTTCTCGTCTTTTATCTCCCTGTCTCTCCCTTTTCTTTCATCTTGTTCTCCATTTTCTACATCTATGTACCTTGATTTCGGACTCTGCTGTTCCCTATGACTCAATCTGTCCTTTCTTTCCCTCTTTTCTTTTATCTTATTTTCTCTATTGCTTTATGCCTGCATGCATGACGGCCGACTGGAGCCCGAGTTGACTGAGCCTTATATGAGAGAGAGAGGACTGTAGATTCAACTAACCAGCAAATACAGATGATGCATTAATTGCAAAACTAACAAAGCACTCTCTCTCTCCCTCTGTCTCTTTTTTTCTCTCAATCTCTCTCTCGATCCCTCTAAAGTCTCCTCCATCTCTCTTGTTATGAGGATGCTTATGACAACACTAAGGACTGCTGGGTAGTGCATTTGGCAATTGCATGATGCCTAAAGATATGGAGGCCTTGCTTCTATCAGGGCATGCTTGAAATAACATCCCTTTCTCTATGGAAGATGAACTGTCTTGAATGCCTGGCTGCCTGTTTTATACATCTCTTTCAGCTTTTATAAGCTTGATCTGGGGGCTGAGGGTGGGACGGGGGTCAAACTGTGAGCTAACGACGTGTCCGGGGGTTTAAAATGTCTTTCAAATGTTGGGTACTAAGTTCTTGCTTAAAGAGAAGTATAGAAGTATAACATGATGACAAATCTAAATATTTAATTAAGAATTTGATGTAATTTCTGTGATGTACTGTGCGTGAATTGTAGGATTATATATTGTCATTCTTTCAAGGTAATAGTGTTAAGATGGATGGTTTACTTCTGGATTATTTTGGATTCTAAGGTTTTTTTTTATTAATATATTAATATGTGTTTGCTTTGTAATCTGACTGTAGACTATTAGATGTAAAAAGTAGATTTCAAAGAAAAATATTTTTTTCCCACAGAGTTATAAAATGCCACATTTTCACTGAAAGACATTTGTCCTATACATCGGCCAAAAAAGTATTTGGACATTTAAATCACACTTAAAAATGTGTGAATGTTGTTGGATTAGATGCAAAATATCAAACCAAGTATCATCTGTGCTCAAATGCTGAACAAGAACTGCTTTTCCGAGCCATATTTGCTTCGACTTTTGAGCAGCTGGACTGTGGACGTGTTCGACTAACATTTGGCAACCACAAAGTGTCCAGAAATCATCATTTTAAATCCACCGTTTATTATTTAAACCTTCTGTCCTGCTTGAAAAGTGTGCTTGTGCTATCTTTTTTTTTATATAAATGATACTTGCTTTGATGTTTTGTTATCTAATGCAATGGCATTAAGACATTTTTAAGTGTGACTTAGCTTTTGAGTTGCTGTATCTGTGTCCTATATGTTCCTTGAAGCTTTAAAGATCTATTTATATTATATATTTGTTCTTTGCTGATTCCAGTGAGGAGACAGTAATGAAACTGGCAGGTGTATTGGTTAATGCTCTGTGATTCCTCTAGGGGCCCAGGATGCTTGTGAACCCTCAGGCTAACCCTGCAATACTCTGTTTTTTTGTCTATTTTCAGGGCGAAAGAATTGAGAAAGGCCAAGGAACATGAGAACGCCGCAAAGAGCCCCGTCGCAATGTAACATCTCCAAGCGGACTCTTTCTCTTCCTCTACATTGCGTTTTTACAAGAGACAAACAATTTACGAAAAAAGCAAAAATTATTCAGGAAGCGGAACACGGAAGATCATCGGAAATGCGACGGTTGAACTCGAGCAGCATTGTGACTGATTCTGCTCCTGCATTGTGTAATTTCTCGTTACGGGGAACTGAAATAAGACTATTGGGGAAATGTGACATTATCTTCATGGCATTTTTGCACTCTTCATAGATTTTTTTTCTTTAGATTACACAAAAAGCAAAAGGAAGACCAAGGAGCAAAGGCTTTTTATTCCGACCGGCGCTTGTAAAATAGCACGCGACACGAACAGATCAACATCAGAAAAACATCATGCTGGAAGCCGCTTCAGGTTACATTTTTATATTTTGAAAGGAAAATAATACAACAATCAGTTTGGGGTAAAAAAAAAAAAAGAACAAAACCTAGAAAATGTAAACCAAAAAAGGCCTCATTTCAGTGACCATATGCATGCAGAGTATTTGAAATCAGTCTCTCATCTCCACAGATCTTTGTTTTTGACAAATGCTGTCCGTTCATTCAAAGGGAAGCCTTCATATGAATGTAGATGGGGTCAGGGCAAAAATGCTGGGTTTGAAATATCAGTGTCTTTATGGGGATTTAGGAGACTTCTGACGACAACTTGGGGGATTGAAGCGAAGCCCTCTGGGTTACTGTTTCGTGTGCACTGTTTTCAACTTTCTTATGGGTCTTTTTCTTAATGTCATTTTGCTGGCCTGACTTTGTGTGTCCCGTGTTTGTTGAATTGAATCTGGATACAGTGCATGTGTTTGAGCAAAACGCTCCTGCATGCTATGTAAATGTTTTGTGTTTTATTTTCATTCATTCATATTGGTGATATTGTGGCACCATGAAACTGGACCGTATAAGCCTGTTTGTTTCTGAGTATACTGTTATAAAGGCCATTATTTTTATATAGTTCAGTTATTTATTTATTAGCTTTATTGATTTTTGCCTTTAGCATTATTGCATTTTTTTTTTAATTGTGTGAAGGTTTTAAATAATCTCCTTGTTTTAAAAACTGACCTTTTTTTTAAATGTGAACTGCACTATCAATTGTGCCACAGCGCCAAACGTATATTTGCAAAGGTTATCTTCCATTTGTGTGTGTGTGTGTGTGTTGTGATTCGTTTCTTCATTGTTACTGTTGATTGATTTCGAAGAGCTCCAGAAAGCCGCCACAAGCTTACCCGTGGAGTTTCACTGAACATTGCCTTGACTTCTTGACTTTTTGAAGGGTCCCTATACAGAAGCTTAAAAAAAAATCCATATTTTTTGACTATTGAGTGGTCCCTGTACATATGAAGATAGGTGAAGGAACATTGATAGCCAGAAACTTTTTCCGAAGAGGATTGTATTTAAGAATATATAGTATTTTATTCATAAATTGGATTATTATAACACATTAAGACAAACAAAAAAAATATATTGTATAGTTTTCTTTGAACGCCCAAGATGTACGGTTGTATTGTTTGTAAATATTGTAAATATTGGTTGCGAAGAAGGAGCCGTGTGCATGAAACTTTAAGACATTGAACATAATGTAAAGATAAAATGTATTGGCAATGGTCTGTAATACGATTTGAACAATTTCACTAGAAGACTTTGTTGGAAATGTTCTTTCACGGAACATTCTCTGAAGCGTGACATGAATCACGATAAAACCGTAGATTTAGCCGAAGAGCCAAACGAATCCATCAGACACAACTGGAACTTTTTCTTTTTCAGGGTTAGCGGGAAATAAAATAATATTTTGTTTTGGGTTTTTTAACCCATGGTGACCAGTCATGTGAGTGCTACAGGACTAAAATAAGCTATTCCTTTGAGAAGTAGATTATCCCAGTATTGGAAGAACTAGTATTGAATGACCAAACTTCACTCACGCAGCCGACAGTTACAGCTGAGGTTTCTACCATACAGAGGATGAAATGTCTCCACAGTTTTGTCTTGTATAACGTGACTAGAATGTGTTTTCTCACATTTTATCGTCTTGATCTCAACACGAACAATGGTCTTGGATGGAGTCAGGAGGTTAAAAGTAGGTCATGTAATTAAAAATGATGTTGACGTGAGGGTTGTGAATGGTTATTTCAAGCAGGCGATTCCCATACACGTGCTGCTTACGTGCTAGAAAAATGTCACACTCGAACTGGAATCGAACACTGAGAGGGCATGAAAACGGTCATGGATAAATATTGTGAATGTAGCTCAAAACACGTACGGAAATCTACGACTGCCAAGTTTAGTTTTTTATTATTTCTTCATTTCTTGGGGGGCTGCTACCAACATTCAAAACCCCATGGTTGAGTCACACTGAATCATAAAGCTTTCTTTTGTACGTTTGTTCCTCTTTTATGCTTATGGAAACAAGCTCGACGTCTTTCACAAATTTCTCCGAAAGAAATTTGAGACTAACTGACCCCCCTGAATTTCCAAAGCGATTTCAGCTGACGAGAGGCATCATTTTAACTTACACCAGCACATTTTGCCTGTTAAAAAGGAAGGACGAGGAAAGAATGTGGTGCTTTTCTGCTGAATTATTACCTACGTCGTTTTATTTCTCCTCCCCCACATGTAGATCCATTATTTTAGAAGTGAAATGTTTCCTCATGATCTCAGAGACTCGATATCAGTATTATTATTATAGAAAGTGCCTAAAACATTCAACCAATGAGTGTGTTGTTCTTAAAGAAGTCGATATGAAAACCAATGGTATGCAACGCTAAAGGCTGGTTTTACTGTCCAAACAGGAGCCCAGGTCTGTTTCCTCCTCTCACACCCTTTTCACTCCTTAAACACAGAGTGAAGGCACCTGTCATTTTGGGTTTTTCGTCCCCCCCCGTTCATTCCGATTCTGTCTCCCAAAAGCGATTTGTTCAAAGATTGAGTGACCCAATAACATACTATGCATGCTTTCATTGTTTCGTTCGTTTTGTGTGCTTTTCTTTCTCTTTTTCCGTGTCGGATCTAAACTGGGCCGGGAAAGTAGGACATGCTCGGTGAAGTTGGCACATTATATAATAGTTTTATCCGGTTGTTAGATTCAAGTCAGAGCACAACTCCAAGCGAAGGTGGCCGCCTTTATGTCCCTTTCCATCCAAATAGTATATATTCTTCCGACTTGAAACTTCAGGAATCATAAGCGAAAGTCCTCAGAATTCACCAGGAAAAGCTGTTTATGGATCACCAGGTATATGTATCTCAGTTTGGGTCATTCATCTTAGGGAAGGGAAAAATCTGCCTCCCTTTTGTAGTTTTACTCAGGGTGCTAAAACAGGGAGAGGGTGTTTAGCATGGAGACTACTGTAGGTTAGGTTAGGTTAAGTCTCCAGGTTCAGCTCAGAATCAACAGGACAAACCACTGGGAATATGTACTTCCATGCGTACATTATTACAACGTTCGCTTTGTTACAAACCACTGCTTTCAGAGACAGACAGTCACTGGGGTAACAGGATAGACCGTGTTTGTTTATAAAGTTTTTAGACCATTTTTCCAAAACTGAGCAGGTATCATCGTTTGTGCAGGTATCATCGCTCATTTAGTATTGCCATATCCCCATGGGATTGGGAATGCATAAGTATACCTCAGCGCCAAATACCTTCAGAATAAGGTGGGAGATCCCGTCCTCTTATGAAACAGCTCAGTATACGTGCATCCAGATCACGCTTTCCGTATTTTTGTGTCAGATAAGAGAAATATGCACTTTGTACAGCTCACCATCCGAGTTGAATTCCCTCTCCGAGCCCTGGTACGTTATAAGTGCGTCTGTATGTGCTTTATCTCGACGTATGAACACGGATGACCACATGAGCACATGTGAAGGTTTTAGCTGAGCGAGGGAAAACACTACTGGTGCAGTTGGAAGTTTGTACGATGTCCTAAATCCTCTCTTTGGAACTCCGGAAATGCAGGTTAGGCTTAAACAGAACCGAAAAACCACTCGATTATAAGCTTTTCAAGTACAGAGCAATAAACACTTTGTTTTCGACAAGCTCTTTAGGTTGAAAGAACATGGATAAGTCAAACATTTAAAAAAAAGAAACGATGATGATAATAATAATAAAAACAAAAATAGAAAAGAAAAAAAAAAAAACATTGGGACATGCTTAGTTCACTTCCTCTTATGCAAATATAGGTACACAGAGAGAGGTGTTCAGTGGTCTGTGGACATTGATTTCATATCTCCCAGCCCTAATGCACGTTTTCATCATTTTAAAATGAAGAATAGAAAAAAAAAGATAAAATATGAGCCCATATTTCTTACAGGGCAGTGGGCTTTCAACACTCTGCATGTGAAGCTAGTATTAGTCCTCTGTTTTCCCCTCTCTCTCTCTCTCTCTCTCTTTCTCCTTCATTCCTGCTTTGTGCTCCTTGTATCCTCCTCCTCCTTTTCCTCCTCTGATGATTTTTGCCTCATGTGCTGTTTTCTCGGGCCGTCTCCCTCTTTCTGTCCTTCTTGTGAGTTTTATTTATTTACTTAATTTTTATTTTTATTTTTTTTGTTTTGTAACTGTGCATGTGAGAGCATCACTGAATTGTTGGATATGTTTTAAAAAAAAATAAATAAATAAATATTCAGCTGCTGAAGCCATGCAAAACATTTTGAATTGCCCTTAAAATATGGGAAATGTTTTCTGAATGCTTTATATAATTTCTGCTGTAAAATAAAATCTTAAAAGAGAAACGGTGCTCATGTTGTCCCTGTTTTCTGCAAATACCTGTTTTTTTCTGCAATGAAAAAGCAGTTCACACAAACACACGATCTCAGTTCCTCTCTCATTACTGACATAAAAAAGGTTTACCATAATTAACTCTATATTTACACATTACACACACTACAATATGAAACAACCAGTCTGAAGTTACTTACAGTTAACATAAAAAATTTACCATAATTAACTCTATATTTACACATTTACAGACTACATAATGAAACATTCAGCATGAAGTTACTTAGTCAACACTAACTATAATTAAATCTATATTTTACATTTATATAATTATATTCATTTTAATTCACATTTTTAAATATAAGTAGTTAAATTACAAAACTTAAAATATAAAATATTAGTAATATAATACATAGTATCCATATATTTATTTTAATATTATTTAAAAAAATTATAGACATTGAAACTAGTAATATAAATATAAGAAATAGTAGCACTATAGTATACAATATTATAGTATATTGTAGTTTTTATCTATATGTTGATTTATTTATTCATTAGTATTTTATGCAAATACTGATATGAAAAGTCACTTTCAGCTGGAGTTTTTTTCTCTCTGTCCGCCTGCCAGTGTTGCCAATTTAGCAATTTTGTTGCTAAATTTAGCTACTTCTCAGACTACCCTAGCAACTTTTTCTTCCAAAAGCACCTAGCAACAAATTTAGCTATTTTTACATTTTATTTGGCTACTTTTAGCAACTTTTGATAAGTGACTCAAACAATAAAAAGGCTCACATTTTTCATCTAAATTTCACAAAAAGAGGAAACCAAAGATGCCTAGCAGTACACACATCACGTGAATTAAATTATTGCTACCGGTATTTGCAATTGATCAATTTGATAATAATAATTTAATAATTGTTCATTTATGATACACCTTGTTGTACCTGTGACTGTTGATCAGTTAGTACACTGTAAGAAAAATATCTAGAAAAATGGAAGAGGTAGGCTTCTAGTAAGTTATCCATTATCCACTGTAAACCCTTTAACCCGAAACACAAAATACAATGCGTAATTTAAAATGCAGATAAAAACCTGTGAATTCTTTTCTTAAAGTGTAGCATACTGACTACTACTAATACACTGCTTAAAACTAATTGGTCAGAAGAAAAAAAACTTGTAATCCTTCAAAAATGTGTAAAGTGTTCATTCAATAATTTTATGTTGTATATAAAAAGTTATTTATATTGTAACATTATATTATGCATTTACAT